CTGCCTAAAATGTTCAGCATGGCTGAGAAACTAACATCCCACCGACTGGAGAAGGAACAAGAGCGGGGTTTTGTTTGTTCCACCTGCACACCTGGAGGTAGATTCACTCAGCTGCACACCACAATTAAGAGTGCCTTCGCTTGAGGGTTCCAGGAGGCATGTTGGCTGGAAAACAGCCTCTCAACCAGTAAGATTGGTGTGGTGAGGAAGGCCTTCATGACTCATGTGGCCTAGGGTATTTGTCCTTCTGAAAGGGAACCTGTCTACTCTTCTTTGCTTGAGAGGTTCCCTTTTTCTTTGGATTCAAGTTCACTGCAAACCAGCTCTAGTTTTATATCTGCTGGGAGCCAGAGACTCTCACAGGGTGTCTTACTCTAGAGGCAGCTTTCCTTCGTAAGGGTATTTGTCTACATAGCTATATAGGTGCCAGGTGGCTGTAAAACACGGGAAGTCCCAGGTGCCCTTCTCACTGTTGGCATCAGCCTTCATCATCCGTCTGTCTCTCCTCTGCTCTTTCTTTTTTGTAAGAACTGTTGCCTGTTTTCCCTGAGGAATCCAAATACCAGTTTCATCCAGCAACAGGGAAAGAAACAAGATTCGCTATCTGGCATCTGCAGCACTAATTGAGTGAAGGGTGAACCTGCCGGTTTCTCTTGCAGCTGTTTTTTTCTGTTCTGTCCCATGAGGTGACCAGTGCAGCAGGGTGCTTGGATTTCCTACATGTTCCTTCTTTCACAGTCGGATTTGCTTTGGATCTCTTACTTTGTGTTTTTCTGCTGGTGCTGTAACAGTATTTTAGAAGCACACTGGATTATTGACTGAGAATGAGAAGGGTTCTGCATACCTTTTCTTTTTAAGGCACGGACTCCTGTTTCCCAGGCTGGCCTAGAACTTGCTATGTAGCCAAGGATGACCTTGATGTTTGATCCTTCTGCCTTCACCTTCCAAGTGTGGGGATTATAAGTATATGCTGCATATGCTGCGGATGGAGCACAGGCCTTCATCCATGCTAGCCAAGGACTCCACAAACTGAGCTACACCCCCAGCCCTGGGTTCTAGATTATTAAAGCACCCAGATTACCAAGTAGATGGTGTCTTAAGTGGGTCTACGTTCCTCAGTTACTGGAGTTGCCAGAGGACCCCAGTGTCAATCCTGGGTGGTATTTTCTCATCAGGCTTTATTCTGGAACCACACTGTTGATCTAATTGGAGCTAAAGGCAAAATATCTCCTCATCTTTTTTTCCCTGCCCTGTCCTCATAGGCCAAGAACTGAATCCAGGCAGATGCTGGGGCTGTGACAGAGAAGCTGAGGGAAGGTGGTAACCGTGTTCTTACATGTTCACTCAGTCTTCTCTGTATCTTCACACAGTTTGGGTCTGATTTTGGCCTCTGTTTTACATAGTGAGAAAGGCAGGCGAGGGGAGGGAAGCAATGTGCTCTAAGTGCTTACAAGTCTGAGTCTCACATGCTTTCCAGAATAGTACTTCTGTTGCTGCTGCTTATGTAGTAGCCTCCAGAAAGAATTGCTTTTTTCATTGCTGTGACAAAATACCTTACAGAAGAAACCTAAGGGAGAAAGTTTTCTGTGGACTCACAGTTCAAGACTACAATCTATCATAGTGGGGAAGTCATGGCATCAGGAGCTAGAAACTCCCTCACAGACATGCCCAGAGGCTTGTCTCCTGGGTGATTCTTGATTCTGTCAAGCTGACAGTGAAGACATTACACCTCCACCTCCCCCTTTTCCTGTCCCAGATCTTGGTGTCCCACCCTGGTTAGAGGCCTCCAGTGAAGGGTAACCATTTCTGCCAAACTGTCCGGTGGGGTGATTCTGGGAGTCGGAATTCTGGGCCAGATGGTACCATGACTAAAGGAGGAAGTTCTTTTGGGCAATGATGTGTGTGTATATTTGGGGAAAAGGACTTCTCTATTTCAAAAATAACTCCAGTGGACTGATGACTGGTGTTGTAAGCGATTTATTGGGAAAGACTTCCTGCCTTTGCCAAGTTATCAATGACTACCAGAAAAGAATCTTCTATTTCTTTCTGAAGGGGAAAAACAAGCAAACAAAAAACCCCTCAAAACCAGTCAGCTGAGTTATCTGTTCAGCAACTGTGCATCATTTCTGGGCGATAAGTCATTAGCTACAGTTTGCTAAACGTGAGTACATTTGTAGGTACTGAATAGGGAGCCTACCTCTATACACACATGGACATGTTCCCAAGTCCTTTCAGCAGCTAGATGGAGGAGCGAGTCTAAGAGAATGTTGAAGGTATAATCTCAAACAGGTATAAAGGTGACTCATATAAATACTGGATGACTTGTGTCAGACAGTAACTCTTCAAGGTAAGGCCAGTGTTCCTACACAGTGAGAAAGGAGTAAGATTATGCTAGAATAAGATTGTGGGGCTTGATCAAGATTATTAATGTCCCGGGGACAGCATACCTTTGGGGTTATTGTTCAACTGAGGTAAAATCTACACGCTCACCTGTAACCCGACAGCTTCAGTAGCAACAACAAATGAAAGGCCAGCCGCTGGAGGACGGGTCCTTGGCAGGCCTATTTGATAGTGCTTTGGCACAGAGGTCTTCGAGTAGGAGGCAGGGCCAAAGTCCTTAAACATAGTCTGACACTTAGCCCCTAAAGTGGCGCCCTGATCTAGCCTTGGGTGAGTCCCTGACAGTTGCTATTGTCATAATGAAGTTACATGATAACATTTACTTTTCTCCATGCTACAGCAAAATACCTGTACCTCACCAAAGCAGCTCAAGGAAGGAAGGGTTCATTTTGGTTCACAGTTGATGGCATAATCCATCATAGGCAGGAAGTCATGGCAGCAGGAGCTTGAGCTGTCACGTGGCATCTGCGGTCAGGAAGTAGAGAGCGATGAGTGCTAATGCTCAGTCCACTTTCTCCTTGTTACGTGATAAGTCCAGAACCGTGCTGTCCACATTTTGAGTGGGCCTTCCCACCTTAGTTAACCCAGTCTAGAAAATCTATCACAGACATACTCAGAAATTTGTCTTCAGGTGATTCTAGAAACTGTCAAGTTGACATTAACCAGCACAGCACATGTGTGTCCCTGGCTGTGTCCTTTCTTTGTGGTCTGCTTCTGATCTTACTATAAAGATGGTTTCTTTTAAGATAAAAATACCAAGACATCCAGCAATCCGAGATATTGTTTTCCCCCTGATCTAGATAAGGCAATTTCCCTTTTCTAACCAGATGACTCCTGCCCTGGAACCTCTTGAGCCTCATCAAACAAATGAACTCTATTTTCTCTGTGTAGTCAGTGTGTCTCGGCTGATGTGAGTCAGCATCCTGTTCTAAATGGTACTTGGTTCCTTGCCATGGACAGTGGAGACACGTATTTTCCGTGGAATGTTGGAGCACAGAGCTGACTTGGGATTTCCACCCACAGCGAGGAGGCAGGAACTGCGGGGGAGACAGGTTTTGTGGGTTTGCATTCAGTGATCACTTGAGACACACAGACACACATACATATAAATAAAAATAAAAAGATCTGGGCATGGTGGCACATGCCTTTAATCCCAGCACGCAGGAGGCAGAAGCAGGTGAGTTTGAGGCCAGCCTGTGAGTTTGAGGCCAGCCTGGGTAACATAGTGAGTTTCTAGACAGCCAGGGCTACATAGTGAGACCCTGTCTCAAAAAAACAAAACAACAACAATAATAATACTAAAATTCCTGCAGACTATAGCTGGTGCTGCTTCCTAGGAAAGGCTCAGATGAACCACTCACTCCACTTTCCAAGGATTTCCAATGACTGGATTGAATTCCAGCTCTGCTGGCTGGACACTGGTCCAGTTTGGTGGCAATCTATTTTTCCTGATGAGCCTTCTTGTCACCCAGCACTGTGTTTTTTGGGGATTTCAGTGCTGGTCAGCTGAGGGCTACATTCTGGCTTAGTCTTCTAATCTTAAGAAGTCTTTGATTAAATCTACCCTAACCCTAATAAAATCTAAAATCATGTTTATTTTGGATTCTGTCTGTTAGTGTTTCTGTGTGGAACTGGAGGTGGTTGTTCAAACCCCCTTACTTGACTAGGTATAGAGACTGAGACCCAAGGGAATAGGCATTTCCATGGAGAACTGATATAGACCTGACCCCCAGTCTGAGTTTCCAACCCCCTAATATAAAATAGCCTCCCTCTTCCTGTCCCTGTCCCTTTCCAAGTTAAATGGCATGTGAGGAATTTTTTTGATATAAAATTGGAAACTTTCAGACCACCAGGCATTGCTTATCTTTGTAAATACACATGTTCCAATTAAAATAGGTACTAAAATATTTTGGTGGCACTTTAAAGCTCCCAATTTAGATTTAATTTAGATTAAAACACTTACTCTTTTTAATAAAGTTGTAAAATTGATTATTATAGGCACCTATTGAAGAAGAGTCAAAGCAGTGGGATGTTTATTTTCTGTACAAAACAATTTCATCTTCAATAAGTATGGTTATATTAATCAATTATGCTATTAATATACAACTGCCATATTAAGCCTGACTCATTTGTCATGACAGTTTGTACAATTATAGAAATTAAACCTAGCCACTTATATAGTCAGAACTTGGCAATAAATATAAATAATTGTCTCTATTAATTCATTTGGAAGGTACTGTCTACTAAATCTTCAGTTAAGTGGCAATTTGGGGACCTTCATTTAAACCCTCCTAAATCTTTGCTGTTCCTTCTGACTCCTGAAGCGCAGGCACCTCCTACTGCTGGTTCAGAAACCAATCCATGAATAAAATAGCTTTTGAAGTACAAATATTTAAAGGGCTGAAGCCTGAGGTTTAAGACTCTCTGGAGAAAAGGAAATGGGGTGTATGTATTGGGTAGAGTGTGCTGAATGAAGAGGGAAACTGGTCTTGACATCCTGGTAATTTGGTTTGGAAAACAGTATACAAATTCCACTTTGTAAAAATCTGCTTAAAGTATGAGTGTGGTTGGGTAACTGTTTGCGACTTGTATCCCCACAGGTGTAGATGAGGTCACCATTGTCAATATTCTGACCAACCGCAGCAATGCCCAGAGACAGGACATCGCCTTTGCCTACCAGAGAAGGACCAAAAAGGTACCAGACAAGGGTGGAGGGGGCAAGGGTTGTGGGGGCGAGGGTGGTGGGGGCGAGGGCGGAGGGCACGAGGGTGGAGGGGCACGCCTTGCTGAGCCAATGTCTTCACACACTACTTTTTCTTTTTCCCTTTAAAAATTAATTGAATTGTGAGTGCATGCATGCACGTGCCACAGTGCACATGTATGTGGAGGTCAGAGGACAAATTCCTGGTGTCATTTCTCTTCATCTGCCTTGTTCTTGCTGCTGCTCTGTGCACTCTAAGCTAGTTGGCCCTCAAACTTCTGGGTGATTCTCCTGTCTCCACCTGGCGTCTCACCATAGGACTACTGGGGTTGTAGAAGTGCTCTACCACATCCTGCCTTTTCCATGGATGGGCTCCTGGGATGAAACTCTGTTTGTCAGGCTTGTGTAGCTAGTCCCTTTACCTGCTGAGCCATCTCCCTGGCCTGATACTGCCTATTTTTTTTTTTTTTCATGATTTTCGGCTTTTCTTGTCATCAGAAAGCCTTCTAGAATCCCTGGGTGTCCAAGGATTTCCTCTTACAACGTTGTGAGAATTGCAGTCTGCACACATGCACATGTAGGAGCTTTTGCATAGATAGCATACTTTATTCCAATACCATGGTGCCCATGAAGGAGAAGTTCTAAGAACAGAACACAAGGAAGAAATACGGACTAGCAACAGCAGTGCTCAGAACCACTTACTGAGTGCTTACTTTGCATCAGTTACTATGCTCAGTACTCTCCATGTAACAACTCATTTCATCTAGTGACAGCCACTGCTTCTTCATAAGCTGTTGGGACTTAAATTTTAGGGTGATAACCTCCACTGAGTATTGACCCTAACAGGTTTCTCACTTATACTTGAGGGGCTGGAGAAATGGCTGAATTGGTAGAATGTTTGCCGTGCACACCTGAGGATTTGAGTTCGAGCCCATATAAAATAGCCAAGCACTGCTTCATGCCCTTGTAACCCCAGCAGAGACAGGAGAGTCCCTTGGGCTTCCTGGTCAGTCAATCTAGCCAAAAATGAAAGCTCTAGGTTCAGAAAGAGATTCTGTCCCAAAAATAAGGTGGAAAAATTTGAAGAAAACAACCCCAATGTTGACCTCTGACCTCAATATGCATACACACATGCATTCACACACACATGTGCACATGCACACAAACATGTATGCACAAATGCATAAACACACAAGAAAAACATACTTGATTTCCTTTTTGTTTGTTTTTTGAGACAGGGTCTCCCTGTAGGCTCAGCTGGCCTAGAACTCTCTATGTAGACCAGGCTGGCTTTGATCTCACAGAGATCTGCCTTCTTCTGCTTCCTGAGTGCTGAGGTTAAAGGCATGTGCCTAGAAGTGTGGCATATACTTGGATTCTTTTTTTAAATTTTATTTTTATGTGTTATGGGTATTTTGCCTGCATGTATGTAAGTGCACCCATGTGTTCAATGCCTGTGTAGGCCAGAAGAGGGCATCAGATCCCCTGGAACTGGAGTTACAGACAGTTGTTAACTGCCATGTGGGTACTGGGAATTAAACCAGGTCCCCTGTAAGAGCAGCCAGTGCTCTTGACCACCAAACCATCTCTCCACCCTGCACATTTAGATTCTTAAGAGAGGTGCACAAATGTGCTTAACTGGATGTGCTTCTGGTCCACCCCTCCATCTTCAACATGCCATGCTCCTATGATTTACAGTCTGAGTGCTTCCTCCTTCACTTGTCCATTGGTAGGTAAAGGGCAGCCCTCACTTGTTCATTCTATTTTGTCACAATGTTAGGAAATTTTATTTTTAAGGATGTGCTGCTTTATTTTTGATTTCTTGCTATTAAAAGTTTTTGATTTACTCTTGGACAGTGCCATAAGTGTGGCTTCCTGCAGCTCCTGTTTGACTCAAGCTTTTGCTTACAGCCACAGCAGAAATGAGCTGGAAAGATGCTGGAAGAGACTGCTCTTGGGGCTGACATGACCACCAAGGTTCTGAGAGTTGGAGGTTGAGCCTGGCTGCAGCTCCTCCTCCATACTCTGAAACAGTTGGAAAGGATACAAACAGGGAAGCAGCTGGCTCCTTTCATCCCACGTGCATTAAAATTCTTGTTCCTCTAGACTTGTATTAATCTTCTGTAGTGAGGCACAGAGGGGAGTGTTTTATGTCTCCAGCTTTCCTTTCCCAGAGGATCTGAGAGCTAGGAGAGCCAATTTCTTGCTGGAGTAAGAAGTCCACTACTTTGGACAGTAAGCAAATAATTGCTCATTCAGCGGCCACTGACACAGTGTGGTTTTGGAACTGTGAGTACATACAAACACAGGTCTTGATTCACATTAGGCAATTGGAGAACATAGCTCTCACATAGCCAGTGGAGGGAACATATTACCAGAATACTAGGAGGGGTCAGCAACTGCACAGGCTTTGTCATGCCTAGAGATAGCCTACTGACTTGCTGATTCTTCATGGCTCAGGATACTTACCTTCCACAGAAAGATGCCTGAACTACCTGAGATTGTTTCAGAAGGAAACCCTAGCATTGTTTCAGATGAGTTGTGGGCTGAGGACACAGACTATGGGGATACAAGTTGACCCTGCCCAGGTGGTGGGCTGCAGACCCTGGCATGGCTATCAAAGGGGACTGAGAGGAAGTTTGGATTTTGTGTTTTGCATGTTCAAGCCAGGGCTAGGAATGAGGTTTCTCTATACAGGGATACTTATGTTTCATTGGATCCTTTCTGAGATTTTTTTGTGCTAAGCCCTATACTAGACATTTTAAGAAATGGGAAGTCGAATGCCTGTAAGGTATTCAGCAGTGGAAAAAGCCAGCTGGTGCCCAGGTGCCTGTTGAGGTTTGAGCAGACATGGTGGTGGGCGGTGTCAAGGGTAGGCTAAGTTGGGAATCACCTAACCTCAAGGTTCCAATTTGGAAAGCTGGTGTTATAATTGGGGTGTGTTTTTGGAAATTCCCTTCTATATCTCATGTGTGCTTATGGCATCAGAAGCCAGAGAAAAGAAGGTGAAAGGGCTGGTCCCAATAAGTCCTCAGATCTGTGCCAATTGTAACATTCTTGACATGTATGGGTGGTTTGAGAAGACTGTCTCTGAAGCAGGCTGCAAATTAGCTTTTAGAGCACACACGTACATGGATGGGAGAGACATTTAGATGCCATGGAAGTAGGAAGAGGAAGGGTGGAACATGAAAAGAGAGAAGAAAAGGGGCCGGAGAGGTGGCTCACGGGTAAAGTGCCTCTCAAGTATGAGGACCTGAGTTCAGATCCCAGAACCCAGGTAAAAGGCCGTATGTGGGGTTCCTTTAATCCCAGTGATGGAGAGATGAGAGGCAGAGACAGATGGATCCCTGGTGCTTTCTGACCTGCTGGGTTTAGCCTATGTGGTAAAGTGTCAGGCCAATAAGAGACTCTGTCTCAAAAAGTGGAAGGCACCCGAGGGATGACCCAAGGTTATCTTCTGACAGCTGCATGCTGTACACATATGTATACCCTCCACCATATGGAGCGTGCACACATATATACACACAACATAAAGAGAATGAAAAAAATTACAGTGGTTAAGTTCAGCTATAGCCCAATGCCCCCCTGACTGGTAAGACATTTAATCCTTGAGGAAACATCTTTAAGCACTACGTCAAATTAAGGTCTACACCTACCCCTAACTTAAAACCATGGTGGCAGTGGAACCCTTGAGAAATGATATTTAACAGGGAAATCAAAAGGGGACCCCAGAAGACTAGATTGCCCATCATCTCCATTACCACCACCTGAGTTTGGAAGAATAAATGACTCCCGAGTGTTACATGAAGTTTCCTGCATAGGGAGTACTGAGCACCACTTCCATCACTGCCGCAACCTCTAGTTCTTTCTGTAGGCTTCATGGTACCACCCCAGGGGCCACTGCACACATTTCTTTCATGGGGTCTCAGCAGGCCACACAGACCTGGCTTCCCAAGGTTCTCCACTCTACCAAGCTTCTTAGCCGAGGCCTTGACCTTGGAAAGTGCTGCACCTCCACAGGGTGTCTCACTCTTAGAGTTCCTTCAGGAATTGTGTGCCACACTACTTCCTTTCTAATGATTAGCTTGGATGTTGATGGGTTTTGTTACAGTGCAGCTCGATCTTTAGATTTCTGTCATATGGTAAAGGAAATGCAGAGGAGGGAGTTCCACCCAAGACTTCAGGGTGCTCCAAGACTCCCAACCTACTTCTCATACCAAGCCTCTCACTTATGTTTTACTCACTGGTTTAAGTGCATTTTGGTCACCCACTGAGTTTCCCGTATGTCTGTGTTTCTGTAGGAACTTCCGGCAGCGCTGAAGTCAGCCTTATCTGGCCACCTGGAGACGGTGATTTTGGGCCTATTGAAGACACCTGCTCAGTACGATGCTTCGGAACTGAAAGCCTCCATGAAGGTAAACACGTGGCAGATGTCATCTGCCAACTCTCCCATTAATATTTGTGAATTACAGCCTTTTGAATGTAATTAGGTGATTTTCAGTTGTGTTGAGTTCTCATTTGAAGTCCTTTTTTTTTTTCAATGCTATATAAGTTGTCAGGATTTGAACCAAAAATATTTCAATTACTTTTTTTTAAGACTGCAAAGAAATTTCCTGATACTGAGAAATCACTTAGCAGCTGTTCCCAGCCAGCACCTGGGCGGCTGGAATACCATTTGGGAAAACTGCTTTCTTGATTACACTTCCTCTTTAAGAAAGATATGTTAGTATATTAAGGAGAAAGGAAAAAACCCCTTAGCTTTTGTTCAGCAAAGCTTGCAGATTGTGCCCACACCCTCCTGGGTGTTTATTTCTCTGGTTTTCTCCCTGTTGTGTCCCATTCTTTCCAGTTTGGGCCAAAAACCGGAGCAGCATAGTGCACGTGGGGGCAATTTCAGCTTGGGAATGGTACCTAGGCTTAGTAGGGAGTTTTGATAGCACATAACATCTCTTCAGTTTTCCTTTCTCAAAGTTATTTTGAACATGGGATTTGAGGTTAAATTAGTAAAAAGTTTAGGTTGGAAGCTTCCTGAATTTTGTGCCTACCTAAGCTACCAAATATTAATTAAATAAATATGACAGATACATAATATGTCCCTCACAGCAAAGCCCTGGGCTCCTTTTCGGCAGGTGCTTGTGACACATTGACTAATCTGATGCTGCCCTCTGCTGGTGTATATGGGTAAGGCCTCTGCAGAAAGGGAGAAACCTGCTAGAGCTGATGTCACAGTTGTGTTGTCCTTCCTCCAGAGCACACTGAGGATGAGGCCACTTCACACAGGGTGTTGCCAGAGCTCTGTAGGACTTGTTAAATCTCTGTCTTCCTTTAGTCCACCAGCATAGCTCATGCGGCTCTGGGTTTCTTTGGGTGGGTTTGCTCTGGGTCCTAGACAGGCTGTACTGCAGGGGAGATGTCATTAAGAATGGTACCAAGCCAGGGGCTGGAGAGATGATGGCTCAGTGATTAAGAGCACTGACTACTCTTGCAGAGTTCCCAGCACCCACATGGTAACATGCAACCATCTGGAGCTCCAGTTCCAATGGGATCCAGCGTCTTCTTCTGGCTACTTTGGGCATTGCATTGCACACATTGGCGCACTTACATTCAGGAAAAACACTTTTACACCTTAAAAAAAATGATACCAAGCCAAACCAGTCATGGTGGTCCATGCTTGTAATTCCAGCACTTGGGAGGTGGAGGCAAGAGGATCGAAAGTTCAAGGTCATCCTCAGCTGTATAGTGAGCTTAAGGTCAGGCTGGAAAACATGAAACATTGTCTTTTTTTTTTTAAAGGCATAGTTCCGTGCCAACAATAACTCCTGATCTTCATGATGAAGGTAACATTCCAGGATGCCAAGCCTTTGGACTGTTGGAGCCACACACGAGCCAATCTCTCCTAGGTTTCTTAAACCATCAACACTTTAGATCAGTTAATCTTATTTTTGTCAAGAATCCACTTATGTGATTCATGTGATTTTACTAGTATCTGTTATTAGGTATTATTGACTTGAAGTGGACCTGTGTGAGCTGTCAGTCACCCTAGTAATCTGTGTAATTGGACCCAATGAAAGTGCTTTAACTTCGCCATCTTTGACCTTGTGCCAGCCCTTCCATTAGCTATCACAGCTGAGCGCCCTTCTGAAATACATGAAGCTTGAAGTGATGTTAGCTGAACAATGCTTTTTAAAAATAATCTGTTTTCACTTTGGGCAATACCAGTGGCGTTGGCAGCCATATGTCACCAGAGAAGTTGCCCTTCTGAGAGGACTTGTGGACAATTGTTGGAAAGCTTAGGCCAAGTTTTGGGAATGGTCAAGGTCACCTTTGAAAGCAGAGACAAAACCCTGTTAGAGTTCTCAGGTATTATACCAGCATACAGGTTCTGGAAGGTGCTGTTACTATGCCAGCCTCACATTGCCTCAGTGTCAGAGCACAGCATTACCTCTAATGCAAGAATTAGTTTTGAACTGCATCTCTGTCGTCCTTGAGATGGAAGAACTGCTACTCCTTAGAAATATTCAAAGATGTTCAGTAGTCATTTTATAACATCTGTACGGTGCGCTTGGTAGACCTTTTGATAACAAAGAAAACTCAGGGTTTTGTTGGAACCTGTAAAAATCATGATGAAAACCCTGGGAGAAGAGTCAAAGATTAGATAGAGAATAAAATTCAAAATTAACTGTAATTTGAGGCTTAGCTTAGATTATACATGCCACCTTTTTTCAGAGGCATGTAATATGCACTCTAATAAGTTTAATTAATAGCTGACACACTTTTCATGTGGATAAGTAAGTTTCTTATTGTATTAACACCTTATAATTGATTTACATTTTAAACAGTTGTAATTCTACTTAGCTCGGAGTGGTATCTCCATATTCGGAGAGTAGACTACTAGAAGATCCTGGTTGTTAAATCTGGGCTTTGATCATGAGGCCTGCTTTGAAGTACATGAGTCATTGAGTCCTTTTGAGCTCTCTGGCATACTCAAAAGTGTATATATTAAATTTGAATATATCACTCATCAAATTCTCATTCCCTAATAAAGTGTCAGCATCTAGTTTATTTGGCACTTTTGTTATTTCATTTTTCTTTACTAAACTACCTTAAGAGTGCAGTGTTCAAGCAAAAATGAAAGTGCCAGAATGAATTTTTTAATGTTAACCCATTTTTGCATATCAAAGAAGAGAAGCTGAAATTTTTATCTTAATGGTACCCTTCTCTGGCAAGAAGCTGTAGATTCTAATGTATCTCATCTGGCTGCCAGTGACTGCTTAAGATTGCTACATTCCTTTATTTCAGATTAATAAGAATACTGCTTGATAAAGAAAATGATTTCTTGTTTATTAAAATCGTGGCTGGCTGTTATAGAAATTAAAAAACGTGTACATGTGCCCAGTATGGTTGTGCCTGTCCCTAACCCCAGCACTTGGGAGGCAAGGGCAAGTGGATCTTTTTGAGTTCAAGGACAGCTTGGTCTACATAGTGAGCTCCAGGCCAGGGAGAGCTACTAAAAGCCTGTCTCAAAATACATACATACATACATACATACATACATACATACATACATACAAACAAACAAATAGGGGAAGGAAGAGTTCCAGGGCCTCTCTAGCTTTTGGTGTATTCTGTTGCTTTCTCTTAATCATTTTTTAAAAAAACATAGTTGAACTTAAACATGCCACTTATTCATCTTAGGCTGTGGCAAAGCAACAGAAAACTACTCTCATTTAGTGCTAAGGAACAGAGTCCAGACTGCTCAGCAGGACTGTAGAAAGGAGGCTGCTAATACACCCATCTGTTTGTAGTGTACCTGGTTGAGGTCAGTGAAGTAGGCTGCTGGTGAGGAGGTTGCTCATGTCTGTTCTTGGCTCACAGGGCCTGGGGACTGACGAGGAGTCTCTCATTGAGATCATCTGCTCAAGAACCAACCAGGAGCTGCAGGAGATTAACAGAGTCTACAAGGAAAGTGAGTGGCCCTGTTTCTGTGGTTCACCTTCTTAGCCCTGTTATTTTTTTCTTTGTGTGTGTGTGTGTGTGTGTGTGTGTGTGTGTGTGTGTGCACGCACACATCTAGGCCAAAGATTTACTTCGGGAATTGAATTGTTCCTCAGGAGCTATCTGCTTTGCATTTTGAGAAGGGGTCTTTCACTAAACCTGGAGCTCACCAATCAGGCTAGGCTAGCTAGCCAGTGAGCCCCGAGATTTGCCTGTCTCTGTGTCCCCTGCACTGGGATTTATAGTCATGTGATGCCATGCCTGGCATTTTACATGGGTGCTGTGATCAAACTCAGGTCCTCATGCTTGTACAACAGATCACCTCCCCAAACCTTTTTTCAGTTTCTATGATTCCACTTCACTGCCTGGGTCAGTGTTAGGGATACGATGCTCAGTAGATGGATGCCATCTCGGCCTCTCAGGCAAGGTTCTCCATGATCCAGGTCCACCCCTCCACCTCCTTACTGCCTGTGTTTTGATGATTACATTCCAGTAGGGCTTCTGCAAAAGGCTAAACAGGAAGGAAAGGAGATAAAAATATCTGAGAGGGAAGCAGGGTACCATATAGTTCATATGTTGGGTTCTGTGCAGTTTCTGCTTACGAAACTCCCAACTCTGGTCTGTGGACAGCAGGAGATGACTGCAGTAGACCTATGGGGCTGTATGCACCAAGCAGTTAATGAGATAGCAGAGGAGTAAAGCCTGCATTGCGGTCTCATTGCTGTCTAGGTGCTATTCTGAATGATAAGAGATACGAAGTGGGGATGTAGCTCAGTTGCTAGATGCTTGCCTTGCGAGCGTTTAACACTGGGTTCCATCCCATCACCAACCCCATAAATCCCAGGATTAGCTGTTCAAGGCCATCCTTGGTTACATGGCGAGTTCAAGACCAGCTTGGGCTACATGAACCCATGTCTCAGAAATATATCTACATGTCAAAGTATTCAAAAAGATTATTTAAGTCTTTTTAAAAATAATTTTTTCCAAGTGCGTTTTCTCAAGCCATGGATAGAAACTGCAAGTGTGTGTATGTATGTGTGGTATCATTCAAAATGAGTATTCATAGTCAAAGTTGGTAAACTATTTATTATTATTATTAGTGTGTGTGTTTGTGTGTACATACACATGCCATAGTTCATGTGTGGAGGTCAGAGAACAACTCTCAAGGGAGCTGGTTCTCTGTACAATGTGGGTCCTGGGGATAGAACTCAGATTGGCAGGCCTGGCTGCAAGTGTCTTTACACACTGAGCCATCTTGCTGGCTTGATAAACAATATTTTAATGAGAAAAGAGCTCACTGGTCAAAGAGAGCCTGAGGACCCCAGTTCGATTTAGATCTACTTGTCTGTTGTCACTGATAGTCACCCTAGCTCAGATGTCATAGGGGAAGTATCCCTCTAGAGATGCCTCCCTCAGTTTGGGACTAGGAGCAGGAATGTTTTGATGCTAACACAACCATGCCTGCTTTCTGAGCCTTGGGTGAGTTGGGATGGGTGTTGGCTGGATTGGTGGGAAGTGTTAGACCACATGTGCATTTTCTCAGTGTACAAGACCGACCTGGAGAAGGACATCATTTCCGACACATCTGGTGACTTCCGGAAGCTGATGGTTGCCCTAGCGAAGGTTGGTCTTAGCCTCTTTCTCTCCCTTTCCTTTCCCCAAAGCAAGTCACACAACTTATTCCATGCTTGGGAGGGAATTAACTAAATCCTCTGTGCCTGCTCAGAGATTCCGCTGCATTTCCAACAGTGGGTTTACACTGTTGCTGCAGAGCTGTCATTTCTGTATAATAGGATTCTTATCCTGCAAGACCCCATGGACAACTTTGGATTTCAGGAGTCAGAGGAGGGATGGGCAAAAGCTCTGCCTGGATTTCTGTGCTAACCCTCTCTGTCTGACTTGGGGAAGGTCACTCTGCCTCTGTCTGTGGCCACATTGGACTCTCTAACATGACCTTCTTATTTCTTTCACTTCATATTCTCAGTGTGTGAGAACACTGCACACACAGTCCTTTGTGTATGTGTGTGCGTGTGTGTGTGTGATGTGTGTGTGCGTGTGATGTGTGTGATTGTGTGTGCATGTGCATGTGTGTGTGATGTGTGTGTGCGTGTGTGTGTGTGATGTGTGTGTGCGTGCGTGTGTGTGATGTGTGTGTGATTGTGTGTGCATGTGCATGTGTGTGTGATGTGTGTGATGCATGTGTGTGCGTGTGTGTGCGCGTGTGTGTGCATGTGTGTGTGCGTGTGTGTGTGCATGTGTGTGTGATGTGTGCGTGTGTGTGTGATGTGTGTGTGTGTTTGTGGAACTGATCACTAACATTAGCACGTTAGCATGGATGAAAGGCACGTCCCCTGTGAATCTCTCTCCAGTTCTGGCTGATGTGCAACTTACTGGCTGCTTGTCAAAGCAAGGACGAGAAATTCTCTCCGGGAGCCCTAATGGCATGACTGAGAAGTGGACCACAGCCTGGCCCATGTGACCCCATGACAGCACCAACTCTGTGGCTCTCCTCTCTTCCCCCCAACCTCCCACGACCAGGGTACCACCATCCCTGGATCATCTTAGAATCTACTTTCAACATTTTGCTCTGCTGGCCAAAACCCATTTCTGCTGCATCCTTCCCAAAGCCCACCACCTTCACCCTGGGCCTGTCAGCCTTCACCCTCTTCACTGACTTTTTGTCTTGCTGTGCTCTGATCCCTCCGCATAGTGTGAAACTTGCCCGTGAGCATGCCCGTCTCCACCTGTGTCTCTTGTACAGGGTGCTCCCTGCCCTGCTGCACACCAACGCTAACCTTAGTTCGGCCCTAGCCCCATCCTCTTTTCCCAGGCTCAGCTGACTGCCCTATGCAAGAGTTCTCCCTTTCTTTGCATGCCATGTCACCACAGCATTCGCTGCTGCTGTGCATTTTACCATCTGTTGCTTGCTTATTGGATTATAAGCTATTTGAGGGAAAAAACCAAATTGGCTTCAGTTTTCCTGGGGTGCAGGCAGGAATTTTATAAAGTGCTTAGCCAGGGCTGGGCATCAAGGGAGAGTTAATGGCAGTGAGGTACAGTATCCACTTCACTGCCTCAACCCTCTGTTTCTTGGTTTTGCCTAGATTCAAAGTAAGAAAAATTGTGTTTGTTCAGGAAATTAAGTTGTGGCTTATTTGAGTTGGAGATGAAACATTTTCAGTTTTAAAATGTACAAAGAGGGGTCAGAGAGATGACCCAGTGGTTAAAAGGACCTAAATTCAATTCCCAGCACCCATGTCAGGTGACTCACAACTGCCTACAACTCTGGTTCCAAGGGACCCAACACCCTCTTTTGGCCTATGTGGGTACTGCACTCACCTGCACATACCACACACGTGCATACACATAATTAAAAATAAATCTTTAAAATGTACAGAGAACTAGGTCTGATGTTCTTCTTTGCTTTCTTTTCCCATAGGGCAGAAGAGCAGAGGAAGGCTCAGTCATTGACTATGAACTCATTGACCAGGATGCCCGGGTATGTACCAAGCTTCTTTGCTTGAGTTTCCCTGGGCGGGGGGGTGGGGGGTGGTGTCCACACAGCCACTATTTCTATGCAACAAGTTACTGCCAAACTTAGAGGCTCAAGATGACAAGCACTGTTACCTCTCAGCTTCTCTGAGTTAGCGATGCAGACCGGCTTGACCAGGAAGAAACTTGAGGTTTCTCATGAGTTTGTAGACAAGATGTTAGCCAGGGTTGTGGTCACTGAGAGTGTGACTGGGTCAGGGGCACCCTCCCTATGTGGCTCACCATGTGACTGTTAGGAGGAGATGTTGGCATTCCTCTACACGGGCTCCACAGGGCTGCTTGAGTGTCCTTAGAACATGGCGGCTGGCTTTCCCAGAACGGAGGAACGACAGAATTCTCTGCTGTATTTTAACCCCAAACCAGCTGAGAATTCCAGTTTTGTTCCTATTTTCTGTGAATGATATTTATTAGAAACTATTACTTTGTGATGCTGGTGTAAGCACCAGGTGTATGCCCAGCTCCCATTTGCTCATTCAGGCTTTGCCTGTGTGGACCAGCCAGGTCTTGAAGACTACTCTGTTGGGGAAGCTGGAGCAGATGGAGTACACACAGCCAGGGTAGGAAGGCTTCCTGTTCCACTGTGTGGAAACAGGGGAGGGCAGCAGAGGCCCATCCTTCTACCTGAATCATGAAATTCTCCTAAGGAAGCAGTAAACTAGGTATGCATTATCAGAGGATCAGTGGGTAGCTCAAAACACATCATAAAAGCTACAGAAAAATTGATTTGAATGTTTCTTAGTTCTAAAATTGAATAAATTTTGCAGAGTACATTTAGTAAGAGGTAGAGAAAGGTGTTGAACGCAATAATAGGAAGTGGGCTTTGTGGTGTACGGAGATAGCTCGACATGGCCTGGAGAAGGCCAATGCTTGGACACACCTGATCCAAATGGCAGGTTTGGGCCACACCTGCAGAGTGGGTTTGCGTGCTCATTTGTCATTTTGAATGCATAGCCACTGGGTTTGTTGAGTGACACTGGCTCTCTCTGGATCATGTTGTTAACGTTTCCTGGTTGGCTGCATTATGCACAGGAACTGTATGATGCTGGAGTGAAGAGGAAAGGGACCGATGTCCCCAAGTGGATCAGCATCATGACCGAACGCAGCGTGTGCCACCTCCAGAAAGGTGTGTACTGTGCTGGGGAAGCCTCGGCATCTGGGGCCCTCAGATGGGCTGGGAGGGATCTGTGCTAGGGCTACTCAGCCAGGCTTATTCTCCACTTGGCTCTCCCTGGGCTCCCCCAGTTTCCTTTAGCAAGTCATTTGGCTTCCCCTCTCATTCTGGAGCCTCTGTCCTCCAAATATGGTTTTTTTGTTTGTTTGGTTTTTTTTTTTTGTTTGTTTGTTTGTTGGTCTTTTTGAGACAGGGTCTCCCTGTAGCCCCAGCTGTCCTGGAACTCACTATGTAGACCAGGCTGGCCTTGAACTCACAGAGATCTGCCTGCCTCTGCCTCCCGAGTGTTGGGACTAAAGGTGTGCGCCACCATGCCTGGCTTCCCCAAATATGTTTTATGTCTGATGTTTTAACTTGCTTCCCTGCTTTGTGTATGTGTGTTAAGTATGTGCATGTGTGTGGGTGCATGTTTGTGTGAGTGCATGTGTGTATGTGTGTTTGTGGCAACCAGTGGTCACCTCAGATGTCATTCCTCAGGAGCTGTCTACCTTGCTTTTGGAGGCTCATTGGCCTGGAGCCCCATAATTCAGCTAGGTTTGCTGACCAGAGAACCCCCGGGGGCCACTGGGTTTTACCTTTTCGGTGCTGGGATTGCAAACACACCCACCATCATGCTTGGCATTGTTTTTAAACATATTTTCTGAGGATCAAACTTGGAACCTTGTTTGCCACATGTACTATCTCCCCAGCCCTTGTTTCCCCTTTTTACTGGAGGATCATTTGATTTTGCTGTTTGTTGAAGCAGAGGACATGGCTGGCTCTGTACTGTTTCTCATGACATCCAGACAGATGCGTTCCAGTTAGAGATGAAGGTGATCACATTGTGTGACCTGGGCAGTGTCATTAGGGTCAGGAGCCTGATCTGGCCCACCATGGAGACCTCTATCCCCCTAGGATGCCATCTGTATCATCTTTGTTTTTTTAAAATTTTATTTGTTGTATCTTACATGTATGAGTGTATTGCCTGCATGTATGTAAGTGTGCCCATGTCGTGCAGTGCCTGTGGAGGTCAGCAAAGGCCATCAGATCCCCTGAAACTGGAATTATGTGTTAATTGTTAGCTTTCATGTAGGTGCTGGGAACTGAACCCAGGTCCTCTGCAAGAGTAGCCAGAGCTCTTTACCGATAAGCAAGCCACCTCTCCAGTCCCACATCTTCATTTTTTTTTAAATCATGGTATATAATTATGTAGATGATCATTGCAAGTTGACTGGCATCTCTGTTATAACCATTTGTTTTTCCTTAGTGTTTGAAAGGTACCGGAGCTACAGCCCTTACGACATGCTGGAGAGCATCAAGAAGGAGGTCAAAGGAGACCTGGAAAATGCCTTCCTGAACCTGGGTAAGCAAGTATAGTCCTCCTCTTTGGTAGAGGGACAGAAGCAGGAGGAATGAGTGGCATTCCCTTACTTTAACAGTCCTAGGGAGGTGTGTTGAGACTTGGAGAGTTTTAGAACTTAGCTTGACTGAAGGACATGAAGGTGCAGACCAGTTCCACTGACAGCAGAGAGTTGTCGGGGAAGAGTGAGTCAGCAGAGAGGGCTGTGGTAGCAAAGCTCACACATGCACTGGGTCCTCTCCACCCTCCACATCCCCTGATTGAAAACTGAGCGGAACTCAGTTAGTGGTTCAGAGGATTCTGACAGACCTAATTCTGATTGCTGTCCCAGAGTCAGGGCATCATCTCCCTCCATTGTGGGAGAGACAGGCAGCCACACCCCTGACCTTGTCTCTTCTCTCCACAGTCCAGTGCATACAGAACAAACCCCTGTATTTTGCTGACCGGCTATATGACTCCATGAAGGTAAGGGTGGTCAGTAGGTCCGTGTTACCTCTAGGCTTCTCTTCTGTCATAGCCCAAACTGAGTGTCCTTGACCAATGTTTAGAGGAAAGGGCGCTGGTGTCTGAAATAGGGCCATAGTAGTCAGCTGTGATTATATTTGACCAGGGAGAAAAGCACCAGTCCATCTTCTCTCCTCTGCTCGAGGATTCTTGGTGCAAGTATGAAACACAGTGCCATGGTGGTATCTGATTTCTGCTGGGGGCTGTTCAGAATATTCAGGGGTTATTCCCAGAATAAAGACAAGCAGGACCAGAGAGAGACCAGAAGCACCCACTAGGCCTGGCTGCTCTGTGTGCCCCCTTCAGTCATGGCAGAACCCTGTGGGTTTCCATTACTGTCTTCATAAAGAAGGCTGGAGCCCTCAAAGCCTCAGCTGGCTTGCGGTCACATAGCAATCTGTAGCTGTGCGTACTTCCTGCAAGAATAGCTCCACGCCAGTGCGTTTGCCACTCCACAGTGCTCCCTGTGTGTTCCAGGCCCTAGCTTTTCCTCTCTGCAGCACCTCACTTGTTCACGCTGCCCCTCTGCCCTCTCTCCTTTGGTTCCTTGTCACACATGGCTCCTCTCCTCAGGGCCTTTGGTACCATGCATTCAACATAGGCATGGAGCCATGAGAAAAACATGCTGGAACATCCTCTCTAAGTCCCCAAGTGGCCAGCAACCCTTTGTTGTATATGCAAACTTGCAGCCTGGCCTTCCAAAGTGCAGAGCTAAAATCTGTGCTAGTTAAACTCTGGTGTAGGAGCTGGAGAAGATGGCTCTGTGGTTAAGGGCACTTGCTGCTCTTCCCGAAGACCCAAGTTTGATTTCCCTCACTCATGTTGGACAGCTCACAATGCCTATGACTCTAACTCCAAGGGATTTGATGCCCTCTTCTTGACTCCACAGGCACCTGCACACATGTGGTACAGACAACACACACACACACACACACACACACACACACACAAATTTAAAAGATAAAAATAAATCTTTGAGCTGGGTGTGTTGGCTCATGCGTTTAACTCCAGCACTTGGGAGGCAGAGGCAGGCAGATCTCTGTGAGTTCAAGGCCAGCCTGGTCTACATCGTGAGTTCCAGGACAGCTGGGGCTACAGGGAGATCCTGTCTCAAAAAGACAAAAAAAAAGGGCTGGAGAGATTGTTTTTCAGAAGACCCAGGTTCATATCCCAGCACCCACATGGCAGTTAACAACTGTCCGTAACTCCAGTTCCAGGGGATCCGACAGCCTCTTCTGTCCCCCATGCACATTGCACGACACGGGTGCATTTACCTACATGCAGGCATTAACACTCACACACATAAAAATAACAAATAAAATATTTTAAATAAAAAAATACCAAAAAAAATCTTTGAAAAACACACATAAGTGCCAGAAAATGTATTATATAATATACTTTTTGTAGTGACTACATTGCCAAGAACTTTAACTTGGGACATCTACTTGGTTCTCAGGGCAAGGGGACACGTGACAAAACTCTGATCAGAATCATGGTCTCCCGAAGTGAAGTGGATATGCTGAAAATCAGATCTGAATTCAAGAAGAAGTACGGCAAGTCCCTGTACTACTTCATCCAGGTAAGGCCTGCGACGTAGGGCTGGCTCTGCTCAGGCGTGTGTGTGTGTGTGTGTGTGTGTGTGTGTGTCCAGAGTGTGTGTGTGTGTGTGCAGAGTGTGTGTGCAGAGTGTGTGTGTGTGTGTGTGCAGAGTGTGTGTGCAGAGTGTGTGTGCAGAGTGTGTGTGTGCAGAGTGTGTGTGTGTGTGTGTGTGTGCAGAGTGTGTGTGTGTGCAGATTGGGACATCTACTTGGTTCTCAGGGCAAGGGGACACGTGACAAAACTCTGATCAGAATCATGGTCTCCCGAAGTGAAGTGGATATGCTGAAAATCAGATCTGAATTCAAGAAGAAGTACGGCAAGTCCCTGTACTACTTCATCCAGGTAAGGCCTGCGACGTAGGGCTGGCTCTGCTCAGGCGTGTGTGTGTGTGTGTGTGTGTGTGTGTGCAGAGTGTGTGTGTGTGTGTGCAGAGTGTGTGTGCAGTGTGTGTGTGCAGAGTATGTGTGTGCAGAGTGTGTGTGCAGAGTGTGTGTGTGCAGAGTGTGTGTGTGCAGTGTGTGTGTGTGTGCAGAGTGTGTGTGTGTGTGCAGAGTGTGTGCAGAGTGTGTGTGTGTGTGCAGAGTGTGTGCAGAGTGTGTGTGTGCAGTGTGTGTGTGTGTGCAGTGTGTGTGTGCAGAGTGTGTGTGTGTGTGCAGAGTGTGTGTGTGCAGATTGTGTGTGTGTGTGCAGAGTGTGTGTGTGCAGAGTGTGTGTGTGTGTGTGTGTGTGTGGGTGTGTGTGTGTAGAGTCTCTGAGTGGGTGTCTAGTTAGAACGTTGCTAGAATGGTGATTTTATGTTTTTTCATTTGTGGAGAAGAGATGTGGGGCATCACATATTCACATATCAGGGATTTGTTTTGAAAGCATTCTGTTAATATTTTTATTTTTGAGAATTTCATATATGAGTATTGTCTATCTATTACTTCCATCCCTCTCAGTCCCCCACCATCTTATCCCATGTCCCCTGCTCCTTCTGAATTTCTTGTCCTTTTCTTTGATTATTGTTACATATATATATGCATTTATAAATAACACACACACATATATTACACAGAGTTACTTAATGGTGCTCGTGTGTACCTGTGTTTAGGGCTGCACATTTGCGATTAGATAACCTCTCAGGTAGCTCGTCACTGGAGAAAACTGATTCTCCCTCCCTCAGCATCCATTGATTGCCTGCAGCTCTTCATCTTGAGGTGGAACCACATGACATCTCCTCCATCCACTTGGCATGCCAGCTGGTTTTGTTATTGTGCAGATCTCCACACTGTGGAGATTTCACTGATGCAGTTTCTTGTCATGTCTAGAAAGCACTAACTAGCAGTAGGTACTTTGTCACTTTGGCTCTTAGAATCTTTCTGTCCTCCCTTCTGCGATGTTTCCTGAGCCTTGAAGTACTAGCTGGCCTGGAACTTGCTGTGTATACGAGGCTGACCTTGAATTCGCAGAGATCCACCTGCTTCTTCCTCCTGAATTAAGGGCACGTGCCACCGTGCTGGACCTTTGAAAGCATTCTTTTATGAGTTGTCATGGACTCTGTGGAGCTGGGGCAGTACCGTATGCTTCCCATATCTGTTACTCTGTTGTAGTAACTGGGGTTGATGGTGATGATCCCTCAAGTCTTGGTGGCATTCTGAGAGACGTTGAAGTTCAAATACATTTTGTCTTTGTCATTCTTCTGTTTCTTAAAAAGTCCCCCCAAAGGCCTCAAAATGCTTGTTTACAAATCCCACCTCTGTAGTCAGCTTAGTCTCTGTCCGTTTGGGAGTGATGGAGCATTAGCCTACAAGGATGAATTCTGTCCTGGGCGGCGCCCTGTGCAAACTCATGCAGGTTTCGCAGCCCCCACCCCGCCTCTTTCTGTTTTTGTGGTAGGAATGGAGCCCAGGCCTTGCACATACGAGGCAAGCCCTCTACCTCTGAGCTAGCATCCCTGCTTTAAAAGTTTTTATTCATTCTCTGTATATATATGGTTGTATGTGTGGAGACCAGAAATCAACTTCAGGTGTTGTTCCTCAGGAATTGTCCACCTTGTTTTTTGATACACTCTCTTTCACTGGGACTTGGGGGCACTCTGACTCAATGAGGCTGGCTGGCCCATACACTTCAGGAATTCCACTGTCTCTGCTACCCCTGCCCTGAGATCACACATGCATTCCCCCATGGCTGACTTTTATGTAGGACATCAAACTCTGATCCCATGCTTGTGGGGTTGAGCTATCTCCCCAGCCCCTCCTTTCTACTTTATTTTGAGATGAGGTCTTATTAAGATGCCCAAACAGTACTTGAGCTTGTGATTGTCCTGCCTCAACCCCCCAAGTAGCTGAGCTTATAAGCATGCACCACCAGACCAGGTTGCAATTCCCCTTTCTAAAAGAGCCTTACATTTCCACATCTGTCCTGCTCTGTGCTCATCAAGGACAACTTTAGAGGTGAATCTGGTGCATCTGGGTTTATTAGGGCCCATATTTAAAGGTACTAGTTAGATTTCATGGAAGGTTTCTTCACCTCAATAGCTTATTTTCATGTGACCTTAATGATCCCCCAAATTTCAAGGTGAGGCAGTGAAGAACCCAGTCCTCTGTGGAAGGATGAGAGTGCAGGAGAAAAGTGGGGGTGCTGGCAGGACTCCTTGCAGGAGCTACAGTATGGGGTACTCCTCTCCACCCTCACCGTCATGGTGGGAAGCACCTTCTCCTACCACAGCCACAGGGCAGGGCCTGGGTCCACAATATATAAAAGGTCTGCAGAGAATCCATGGCACCCCAAAGCTGTTCAGGTTACTGTGGAGTTTGGTCTTTTTGTCTGATAATACATTTCTTTTTCCTCTGTGACCACTTGCAGCAAGACACCAAAGGTGACTACCAGAAGGCACTGCTGTACCTGTGTGGTGGAGATGACTGAAGCGCCTGCATCCAGGAGTAGAGCTGCCTGCGCCCTACCTAACATTTTAGAGAATCAGATCGCAACTAACAGACCCCTGTGCTCCTCCCTGTTAAGACGACATCAGAGTTGTAGCCCTTCCCCTCATTTTAGTTGCCTTAGTTACCTGACTTTCCCTTCCTCTGTCCTTTAAGCCAAAGAAATGAACATTCCAGGGAGTTGGAAGCAAAGTCTGTGATGTGAAACACTCTGCCTCCTGTGTACTGTGTCGTGAATAAACCGTTTTTACTTTAGAAACAAACTCTACTGTGCCCTTGCTTTCCATTTAATTGTTTAGAAATCAGACAAGCTTGGGATTGTGCCGTTCACCCAATGAGGCTGCTCTAGAACTGAGCTCTCTCCTCTAGTAACCACTATCCAGAGGTGACTTTTAAGGATGAGTGAATTTAAATTATACACAGTTGATAATTTGGTTTTTTGGGGGGGCGCAGGAGTGGGGCTCAGTGCTGGAGCACTTATCTGATTTTGTGAGTTTTTCCTTGGGGGGGAAACAAACATCTTAATTCTCCCAGATACAGCACCAACAACACACAAAGAAACCATTCCACTCAAGTTAACTTGGTGAGCTAGTGAGCTTAATTAGGATTACTCAAAGGAACTTGGGTGAGGGCTTACTCACAGAAGCATGGCCACCTTAGAAGTGTTTACAGCACTGAAGAAAATAGCTCTCCCAGCAACAATTATTTATCTTCTGTATCTTGGTTGTGTGTATGTGTGTGTATGGGGGGGTGCTCATACACTCCTCCCCCACAACAACCCGTTAATGACCTATATATCCTTGGAGAGGGGGTCCTCATAAGTCTCTCCCCTCTCCATGATGGACTGTTAATGAACCCAATCAAGAGTAGATGCCACAGAAGCAGAGAGTTCAAGAGGGCAAAGGCCACACCGTGCTTGGAACACAGTGTCTAGAACAGTGGAGTAAATGATGCCCTGGGTTTGATCCCTAGTACCACAAAGACTGGTTCTTCAGTCACTTTATCCACATTTCAGACGCTCAGTACCCGTGTCTGGTGAGTAACCAGTGGATTGGGCCATGTGCGAGGAGAACATTTCGATTGTAGAAGGAAGTTCTCCTGGCTTGCTACATAAGCCCTGGATGTGAGAGGCCCCAAGAGAGGAAAGTCTCAGTGGCTCACCTGCTGGGAAAGTACATGAAAGCGAGCGTCTGAGGCGGCCGAAAGTGTGACGGGGATATTCTGCATTCTCTTCGGTTGTGGCTGGGTTTTTTGTTAATTGCATTTTTTAAAAGATTTTTAAAAATATCTATTTTTATGTATATACATATATGTAAATGCACCATTTGTGTATAATGCACAGAGGCTAGAAGAGGGTATCTGATCCCCTGGAACTGGAGTTATAGCTGGTTGTTAGCTGCCTCGTGGGTGCTGGGAACTGAACCTGGGTCTCCTGCAAGAGCAGTCAGTGTGTTTAATCACTGAGCCATCTCTCTCCGGCCCCAATTTATTTTTAATTATATGTGCCTGTGTCTATGTGTGGGCATGTGCACATGAGCAGAGGTGCCTGCAGAGGCCAGAAGAGGGTGTTGGAGTCCCTTGGAGATAGAATTATAGGCTGTCTAAGACTGCCTGATGTGGGTGCTGGGAACAGAGCTGGGGTCATCTGTAAGAACATCATGAGTTCTTAACTGCTGAGCCGTTTATCCAGCCCTTGCCTTGTTTGCTTTTTTAGAGTCGCATGTAGTGCAGTCTCAGGCGGCCTGGAACTCACTATGTAGCTGAGGATGAATGTTCACTTCTGAGTTTTCTGCCTCGAATCTCCAAGTGCTGGCATGTTCTACCATGCCCGGATTATGCAATGCTGGGGACGGAACCTAGGACTTCTGCAAGCTAGCAGGCACTCTACCTGCTGAGCTAATTTCCCAGCCTGGACTTGGTAGCAAATGTAGTAAATGAACTAACATCATATCCCAATCTCAAGAATCTACCCTCCAGTGAGCCAAGCTACAGCGTGATTGCACAGCAGGGCTAACCTGACTGGGAGCACAGGGAGGAACACAATGTCTGTAAGGACCGGGGAGGATGACAGCAGGAAGGAAAGAGCTGAACTGTGCCCCACAGTCTCAGGTGAGGTTTCACGGCTGGGAAGATGCTCTCCACACAGACCCCAGACTATGAAGGACAGGCCATGCACACACCTGTATACCTTAAAAGATAAAACCGCAACCCAGAAAAGGGTTCATGTCTGCTGGTCTGACTAAAGACAATGATGCCAGAAACTGGGTGACAGAAGAAAGCTTTATTTAGTGGCCAGAGAATGGAAGAGTGGGAGCCTGTGTGGGCATGGCAGCCTTGACTCCAGGGAGGAGTTACAGAGACAGAGTGGGAGTAATGAATATTCATGTCATGCCCTCCTCTCTTAGGGTTCTCTAAAGGGAACAGACAGATAGAATGAATATATATGTAATATTATTAAAGAAAGGATTTATTAAATAACCTTACACAATATGGTCAAACTAGTCCAAGAACAGCTGCCTCACTCTGGAGAGGCCGAGAACTGGTAACTGCTCCGTTCACGAGGCTGGATGTCTCAGCAGTCACAATCTGGCACTGAAAGTCTGGAGGGTTCCTGGAGAACCACTGGTTTGCAGTTGATGTTGGAAATCTGGAAAAGCTGGTTCTATTGTTGGCAAAGGAATCAGGAGCAGCAGCAACAGGATAAATCAACTCAGTAGCAAGAGGGAAGACCAAGCAAGCAAAATGTGGATAATCTTCCTTCCTCTGTAGCCTTTATCCTTTTTTAAAATCTGGGCTGCGATTAGAAGGTACTACCCTCATTTGGTGGGAGGGCTTCCTCCATCCATTAAAGCAATCCGACACCCACTGCTATAGAAAATGCCTCAACTCAGGCTCCATGCTCAGGTGATTCTAAGTTGTAGCAAGTTGATGTTTAAAAGCAACCACCACACCCCCTGTACTAGAGATCACACCAGGGTGTGGTGTATGCTAATCAAGCACCCTACCACAGAACCACTAAGCTAGCCACTGAGCTGTATCCTCAACCCCTTAGGGTGCCTCTTTGTCACAGTCTGGTGTTTTCATTCATGTAATGGATGAATAGTCCATTTCACACTGGTAGGCATCTAAGGTGCCATTCAGGGGGACCTGGGCTGTGTAAGGAAAGTAGCTGGATGTGAGCTGGGGAGCAAGCCGGTAAGCAGTGTTCCTCTGTGGTCTCTGCTTCAGTTTCTGCTCCAGGATTCTGTCTTGAGTTCCTGCCTTGGCTTCCCTCAGTAATGGATTATAACCTGTAAGCCTCCCCAAGTTGCTTTTATAGCGGGTATCACAGTAATAGAAAGCAAACTAGGACAGCTACTGTGAATCATGCTGCAAGGAACACGGATGTACAAGTGTCTCTGTGACACTCTGGATTCTTTTGGATAAATATCTAGGAATAGGGTAGCTGGGTTGTAAGGAAGATTTACTGTTAGTTTTTTGAGAACACGCCATACTGACTTCCATATTGGTCAGATGAGCTTATATTCCTACAGGCCCAAGTTGGTGAATTTTGAGTCAATTTAAAATGAATAAATCAGAAGGTTTATTGACATTTTCCTTGGTATCACAATGACTATATACAATGGGAATTCAGCCTGCCCCTTGCTCCTCTGTCCAGCCATCTAGTCACCTTCCGTAGGATCAAATGGAAAAAAATTCCTTAATTGAAGTTTCCTCTTCCCAAGTATGTCAGGTTGACAACCAAGATTACCCATCGCAATAGCTAATTCAACACATCCTTACACGAATGGACTGTGTACAATAAGCATGTGCGTGTGTCTGTATCACCACCTGTGCTCACACACGTCAGGTTCTGTGTATAGGCTGCTGGCCCAGAGCCCTGTGGACAGCTGCTTAGTCTAAGTACTGTCCCAGAGAGGACACTTTCTGAGGGGAGAGCAGACCCTTCCCAAGACCTTCACTATATTTTCCCATCAGAGGGCACCCGTCTGCCAAGATGAAGTTCAGGAATGTGCAGGTGCTGAGCAGTTTGGGAAGTGAAGTGAAATGAGTCCTCTGGACAGAAGTGGGGAGTCTGGAAAAGAGGAGGCTGCCTGCTCTGCTCCAGGAATTCAAATGCAACTTAAATAACACAGTGTTATATAAACGGAGTGTGTCTGTAAGCTGATTGGCTTGCTACTGTGACCCTTTGGCAAACTTGAGATGGAAATTCAGATTGAATGTGGCTCCTGGGTCACTCGTGGCCCATAACGCGACTCTGAGGTCACTAAGATGGCCTTCCAAGAGCAGGTTACACAAACCTAGGGTGTTTGATCAACTGTGACCTGCGCACATTAGAAATAGTGCCCCAAATCCCTGAATCCATGCCTTGGTGAGCTTGGGGGCAGAGTTCAGGGATCTGCATAAGAAGTGGGACCTTTCTGTTTAACCCCAAATTATTGTGCTGAACTGAAAGTTAGATGGTTGGGCAGAGGCTGGCTGGCACAGTCTCAGGCCAGGCAGCGTGGGACTTGCTTTCTTCCTTTTCGAAAAATGAGCTGTAGGCTGCAAAGACAGCGGTAGGAGAAAGAGAAGGCAAGACTGGGAGCTGGAGCAGCCTGGCCTCTAATGTGCTGTCGCAGACCCTCTTGCAGTTACAAGAGAAACTCCAAAAGGCAGGCCGGCTGGCAAAAGCTTTGCAGACCTGACCGAAACCTGCCTGCTCCTTCCTCCGTAGAGATGTAGCTGTCTGGAGTCCTCAGAGTTTGCTCTCAATTTCTTCTGGATTCCAGCCTGTTCTCCCCCGCTGATGTGCCCAAACCATTTTTTGAAGTAAAGACCACCATCTGGAGATTAGTATATTCTCCCAACCAACTTTATTTTGCAAAGAGAAGGAAAAAAGTTCAGGCAGGGTTGAATATTTGGTGAGTTGATCACAACATTAAGTTTAATTTTATTCTTTTAGGAATGAAAGGTGACGGATGTGTCACGGAACCATGGAAACATTACACTCTGACAACATGACAAAGTTCACAAGTCTCCCCACTGACCTGTGTAGTGTGTGGGGCTGTCAGGTTGTACATTGAAATCGGTGTGAAGTTCTACAGTGCACAACCCAAGTGGGCAAACACGGCAGACCTAGACTGGAACTCCCAGGCATGTATAGACTGGTCTATTAGACTTTTTCTAGGAAGTAGGCTTCCAGAATAACAAGTAAGAAGGCAGCTGGGATGGAGCTCAGCTCATAGGCGCTTGCCTAGCATGCACTGGGTTTGATTCCCAA